AGCACACTCTGCTCCGCGACTTTAGGTGCACATGGAGCCAGTGAAGGGAGGAGCCCAAGGGTGGCATGGTGGGCTGGGCACGGGGAAAACGCAGTGGTTCTCAGGAAAATCCAATTACTCCCACTTTTCACTCATTTGGAAAATGCCTTCCTGACCGCAAAACAAAATCAACACTGTACTCAACTCCCCACTCAGAGTGCTCACCAGTTAACAAGGACTTAATAAAAGTTCTTGGGAGAAAACTAGCAAATACCGACAGATAACAGTGGTTATAAACCTACTTCCTGTACAGTCAGTTATAAAGGGTTTTTCACATGTGTCATCTAATACCTCTCGGAACTCTCCCGGGAGATATTTACTGGTCAGCCCCCCCCCACCCCATTCATAGGTGCAGATGGTTGCCCAGTAGGTGGAAAGGTCAGCATTTGAACCCAGGCCCTCTGGCATTACATTCTTGCTCGTTTATCTACCGAAATGGCCTCATTGCCTCTCTTCCCACTGAGAAAACACATGAGGTAACTGACTTAAAATCTGAAGTCGAGTCTAGCAATTGCAGGGAAGTGAGTGGTCTCACTGGAAACTTTTTCTGTTTCCCCCTAGAGCTTTTAAGCTAAGTGTAAATTGACTATGTGCTTAGGAATTTACCAGCTCAGACAGACTGAAACAATTAGACAGGAGGCCAAGTGAGAGTGAGCGGGAGACAGACCCCAGGCATGGGAGCCGACATTCCTTTTAAAAGCTTCCCTTCATATCCTTTCTCAATTGGCTGAAACCCTAGAGGTTTGACTGGCGAAACCACTTCCTCTCAGAAGTGTCCGTTCCCCAAGGGAGCCTGGGATTTGTAGTCTTGGAACCGGCCGACCTTTCGCAGTCCTTGAGCTGGCTCCCGGGCTACAGTGTCAGCTTCAGTAGCTTTTTTCTTGATGCTGAGGCGCCCAGCGTGCTTTTTGCAATGCACAGACTTCTTCCTGGATACGACTTGAAGCCTCTGTTTATGCACCAGAACCCGATCCCCTGGTCCCCCATTCAGGTTCTTTATGACCGCCCCTCTCTCCCACACTGATACTAAGCACCGTTTTACGGCCTCCTCCGGAGGGAGAGCTGGACACAAGCCCAGCGCTCCGGCTAACGGCAGAGGAACCTCCGAGGCCGATCCCCAGGGGGTGGGAGAAGGGCAGCCAGGCTCAAGGGTTGCTTCCCAAAGAAGTATCTGTCGCTAGTTTTTAAGGTGACATGTTTACATGATGGCTGTTAATGAACAGATGTTAGAGGAAGTAGGGTGTGAAACCAGGTCCACAGACGACTTGCAGAAAACACCGCATTTTGTTTCATTTTGCTCTGAGTTTTATTTCCTCCCTGACCATTGCCTTGGCCTGGCAGCCCTTGGCTTAGAACAGACAGATGTTCTTTTCTGCCCTGGTGTTCATTTGGTCAGAGCTAGTCACACCCACTCTGACCGCCCACACTTCACGAATTACCCATGGACTAAATAAACATCACACATTCCTTGTTCAATCGCATGGAGATATATTATTGGTTAGATAAAATAAAGACCATTTTAGGTGTTATTGATTTCTGGTGGTCGTTGACCGACAAATATGTCGCAAAGCAGCAGATACTGAAAACAGTGACTCCTTTGCATAGAAGTCAACGATATTTTTTTGACACTAAAAATATATGACCTCCTGCTCAAAAGGGCTGTTGGCCAGTGTCCTAAACTGTGGGGAAGACTGATTTCCATGCTTCTCTCTTCTTGGCTTGCACTGTTTCTTAAAACAAATAAACTTCAGGGCATAGGTGCAGAATGGTGAGGTGGAGAAATTACTGAACTAGAAGTGAGCGGGGCATAGATCCTGTTTGTCCTCTCCAGCCAGCCAGCTGGATGCCCTTGAATAAGCTAGTAAATCTTAAATATGGGCATTACAGGGGAATAAATGCCAGCCATCCCTCCACACAAATGATTTAAGGAGAATATAGTGTCCTGGTCCTATTAGCGAGTGGAATAGCTTCGTAAATGTGGAACAGATCACCGGAGAACAAGTTCAAGGCGCAAGACGTAGCCAAAGTTCTAAGACTTTATGGGGGTGATGAACATAAGTCAGTGTTTGAATAGGGTGTAAACAGTAATATAAACAGAGCCGTTTTAAAATGGAGCCAGGTCTGCCAGGCCAGGGGAACTGCCTTGCACGTCTTATGTGTCAAATCTTTGAAATGTTGAGACAGGGCAAAATCATCTTCGGACTGGGCCTACGCAATGTCGCTTCCCAGGAAACTGTGTGCAAAGATGACAATAAAGTAGTTATTATGACTACTGGGCCGATGGCTACTGGATCAAAAATTTAAAATGTTGTTTAGAATAAGCATCACTATGTTGTGTTGTCTGAACCAATAGAAATCCCTTCCATCTATGGATGTAGTTGTTCCTTTCCCCTTCTCATAAATACCCACTGCTTTTGTCTCCTGACTGGAACGTTATCTGCGCTTCTGCCTGAATCAGTGATTTCAATAAAGGCCGTCACCGCTCACTTTGAAGGGCCTTTTTGTCTTTAGGTTAAAAAGCGCGTATAAAACCCCTCTTCACAGGGTGAAGCCCCCCAGTGGCCTGCACATCCTTTATGTGCTTCCATTTTCCCTAATGCTCTGCAGATTTCAAGATTGATGGCAAACTTGCCTGACTGAGGTGGAGATTTTCCAAAGAATACAGCCAAACGATTCCCAAACATACCTGGTCTTCATCATTTCTCTTCCTATGCTCGGGCCGCTAATACCAGGTTTCATCTTCCTTTTTCTCAGAAGTCACAGGAAACTCATACAGAGGTACACGTTCACACTTATTCACACTGACTTTGTGGTGGAGAGTTGACAGCAGAAGAGACACGGCACAAAGACAATGGAGGGCAACGTGAACATTTCAGTTTCGATTTATTTAAAAATTTTTCTATTTTGTGTTAGTTTGATAACAGAAATAATAATGTGACAGTTTATGTAGATGGTTTATAAACCAATGGGCATATATTGAGACTATTCGCTTAACATGTTTCGTGTTTTTCAATGGTGAGGTGCAAGTTAAGAAACATTGGAGACCAATGTTCTGGATCACATCTCATTGCATCTGGGAAGACATGTCATCTAGAAGATACTGTGTTACTAAGGGAAGGTTACAGGGTTATTGACGCTGTGAGTCTAATTCCTCACAACATCTAGGACTTTCCAAGCCTCATTTTTCCCCCCATTATAAAATACAGAAATCGAAAACAGCTACCTAACAGTGAAGCGCTTTGCAGAAAGTTTCTTCCTTGGGAAGAAAAACACCTTAAACATCTGCATGGACCATAAAATGCTGGCATGGGAACAGCAAAAGCTGGGCCATCTTACTCGCTGTTGGGTTATCAGGAGGATAGCCACTTGGGTTTGAGGAGCTTGGGGGATGAAACAGAATGTAGTTTAATGGACAAGGTCCATCCTTAACCAACGTGTTTGCTTGGGTCTGGTTCCTGAACACAGGTTATCCGTGGCCTTGGCTGTCATCCTAGACATCTCTTATAGGAAGATTTAAATAACATTAAAAAGAAATCTCTGCAAACTTCACCAACTGTGTGAAGGTTAGTTTTAACACCCAGATGAAACATTCTTTCTGGATCTGCATGTGCGGGTGTTTCTGGATGAGTCAGCGTTTGGATTGGTGGATTTAGTGAGTAGATTGCCTTCCTCAATGCATCAACCAATTTATTGGGTAGAATGGGACAAAAGGGCAGAAGAAGGAGGAATTCATCCTATGCTTCCTGCCTGCCTGCTTGAGCCTCAGCTTCTCTTGTGCTGGGATTTACACCATCAGCTCTCCTGGTCCTCAGGCTTGTAGGTTTGACCTGGAACTCCATGTCTGGCTTTCCTGAGTCCCCAGCAGGCAGACAGTAGACCGAGGGACTTCTCAGCCTCCAAAATCACATGGGGTCAATTCCTCACAATCAATTTCCTTTTCTCTTTCTATGTGTGTGTGTATCTATATATAGACAACTATCTATATCTATCTATATATCTATCTATATCTATATCTATATCTATATCTATATCTATCTATCATCTATCTATTTATATTCATATTTATATTATCTTCTACTGGTTCTGTTTCTCTGGAGAACCCTGACTAATACAAACAACAATCAAAACCATATTGATTTTTGTGCTTTCTACTGTAATGCAGTTTGTACATCTGAAAAATGCTTCATGGTACAAGAGGTAGATAGGAAACTTCCCCTGGGGAAACCCTTTGGCCCATTGAAGGGTAAATAAGAAAATGATATCCTCAGTTCTGAGTTGGAGAAGGCACAATTTATTTACTCAAATTATTTTACAATGTAGTCTTCAAGGATCGTCGTCAGCTTAACACTTAAAATAGTTGTGAAAGGGCAATGATTACCTGCAAAATTATATATATTTTAATATCTAAAAAATATATTGCATATACAGGGCAGGAAAATCCCTTGTACTCACAAAGAAAAGTTTACTTCTTCTTTTCAGAGTTGTGAGGATTGCAGGATGGTTATTTACAAACAGTTCCAAAGCATGAAGATTTAAATGAAGGACTTCTGAACGCCTGTTAAACAACTACACCAGAACTTCCCTTTCTAGTAAGTCAGTGACTTAAATGTCTGTTTTCTTTTTAGCAATAGTCACATTATGCTTTTTTTTTTTAAAAAAACAACCCAGCTATAAAAACGTACAAATAGCCCACATGTACAGATTGACAAAAGATGTACAAATTCTATTTAAAAAAATAACAATGATTGCTTTGATAGTAAAATTGCATTTGTGACCGAGGTCAACTCGTTTATTTATTCTTTTTAATTTTTTAGTTATTTATTTTTAATGTTTTTAAAATTGATTTGAGAGAGAGGAAAGGAGAGAGAGAGAGAGGGAAAGAGAGAAACATGGAAGGTGAGTGAGACACATCGATTGGTTGCCTCCTGCACGACCCCAACCTGGGCCAAGGGACCCAGGTATGTGCTCTTGACCAGGAATCGAACCCGCGACCCTTCGGTGCATGGGCCGATGCTTTAACCACTGAGCCACACTGGCCATGGCTTAGTTATTTACTTTTAATACTGTGAGATATAGGAACATAACTCTGCATAATTTATACAGTAAGTTGCCTTCTGACTCGGTGACCCCGACTGTGGTCTGACAGGCGCACAGCGCCTGAGGATCTGTTGTTTTTAGGAGTCCCTAAGACTTTTCAAAGTTCTGGGACCCACTGTCATTATTTAAAAAAAAAAAAAAACTACTTAGTTTTCTGTCTTTCAGGAATTTCTGCACTTGCATTAACATTTCTTAGTTCATAGCCTGACTATTTCCAGAAAGAATGATCCGCCTAGTACATAGTGCCCACTGAGAAGAATTTTGCAATGCCCATTGGCTTCTTAAATACACTCTTGTTCTTTCTTTTAAATTCCAGTTGGGTGAAAACTTCACTGGCCTTGCAACCAATGTTCCAGTTGCCATCCACTGAATGATATCCTCCTAAAATAAGATTATTAGCTTCCTGCCTCTATTTTCACTAAGTCTCAAACCAGAGCCTAACTGGTTAAGTACATGATTCTTTGTCACACCGAACCCTACAAGGTCCGTGACAAGACCCATGTGTGGATAAGAAATTGCTTTGGTCATAAAAATATAAAAAAAAAAAATTTACAGTTTCTTTCACAGGACCATGATACAACTATTCCAGTAATCTAAATATTCCACTCATAAACTGATAGGAGATTGAGAATCCAGACTGGCCTACTGGCCCATGGAATTATCCATCTCTTTGTTCAAGGTAGAGGAAGCAAAAGTTATCAACGATAAAAACAATTGTGTTTGTAAAGAACACGTACAAAGGTTCTATGCAACAAGAAAGAGCATCCAGTTTTGTTTTCTCTTCATGGCTACATATGTCCTTTAGGGTCCAAAGTACTCCAGGAAGTGTGAGGGATGGGGCTTCAGTGAGATGGCCACCGATGATTAAGCTTCTAGTAGTAGCTGCCTAAGTGTGAGGGCACGTGGGTGTTAGGATGGCGGGGGACATTGGGGTTGGGGTAGATTCCGCCCGTAGGGGAGGTCCAGTATTGCGAGGCTGCTCCAAAGAAGCTGGAAGAAGTGACGGGCATGGAGGATGGGTGGGGAGGGACGAAGTTCACCTTCTGTTGATGGGCGTGGTAGGAAGGCATGTAGGAGATATCAGAAGGGTACTTGTACATGGACGACTCGGTCGGATGCGGTTGCAGAGCCTGGGCAATGCCATGGAAGTCAAATTTGTAGGCATACCTCTTGCCATGCACTTTGGTCATAATGTTTTTATCATAGTAGTATCGGAGGGCCCGGCTCAGCTTGTCATAATTCATGTTGGGCTTGCTTTTCCGCTCCCCCCAGCGCCTGGCCACCTCGTCGGGGTCCGTCATTTTGAACTCCCCGTTGGTCCCCTCCCAGGTGATACAGCTGGCGTTGGCGCTGTCAGAGAGGAGCTCCAGGAGGAACTGCCACAGCTGGATCTGCCCACTTCCTGCAGGGGGCGAGACGGGCGGGGAAGACAGAAGGTTTCAGCCCAGGGAAGTCAGAGCCCAATCCCCTAAACGCAAGGATTCGCTCGCCCTTTGCGAACAAAACCAGACCCTTGTATTTCCTTTTCTTTTCAGGATCTACTTGCGGCCCCTTCTTTTCACTGTTGACTTGCTCTCCGGTGTGCCACCGAGGTTGGCATTAGAAGCAGGTAGACCTTAAAACAATTTGCCCCAAGGCCTGTGAGAGGCACTGTGGGTCATGAGGTGCTGGGTTGCCCAGAACTACCTGTGCGATTTGGGGCAAGCCACAGACACTCATTTTGGCAAGGTTTTTGAATGTCTTCTTCTACAAAGGCCTGCACTGACCATCTCTGATTAGTGATGGCGCCCCCCAAGGGTTTCATGGCAGTGTGAAGTCTGGGCCAGGAGGCTGCTGTCAGTCACAGGGAGAGGGTGTGGCACGGGCACTGGGCTGGCGGGACCCGGGATCCTCCTTAGCAGAGTCCTAGTGCTCAGAGCCCAGCTCTAAGTTCTCCAGAGAAGAACTTGGGCCGAGAGGACAGTAACAAGAAAGGCTTCTTTTGCCTCTGGGAGAAATGGCCAGGCGCTAAAAAATGAGCCTGGAGACACTGGCAACATCGGCTCCCTGGGTTCGGGCCTCACTCCCGCGCAGGGCCTATTAGCTCACACGCTCAGGGGTGTTGGTTTAGAACTCACCTCGGAGTTATTTTTGACAATAGTCCTTAAAATACATGGTCAGATTTATTTTATCTGCAACTTTTCAAGTACACACCTGTCTCACAAGACCAGATAGCTTGGCAATGCTTTCTAAAATCAAGAATACACTGCCTTAGGAGTGTGCCTTGCACAAGGCAGGTAACTGGGGGCCCCCTGGACTTGTTTTCTCCCTCCTCAGCCTCCAACTTTCCCTCCTGGAACGGTCCCCTGTGCCATTCATGACTAATCCGAAGCTAATGCATTTGCTTTCCAGAAACGTCCTCAGCGAGTGGACTTGACTGCCACCGAAGAACCAGCCCTGACCTCTTGTCTGTACACGAGAGGAGCGGGGGGTGAATATTTCCAGGAAAGAAGTACATGTTACTCCCTGGTCAGGTGTCTGAACCTCGGACAGAGGTCTCTGTGATCTCACAAAGCTATGGAACATTCTGGAAAGAAAACCCTGCAAGCCAAAGTCAACTCACCGGGGTTGGCTAAGCGACTGCTGGTTGGGCCCAGGATCTGATATGGATCTAAAGAAACACAAAAGGAAAGAGGCCTCACTGTTATTAAAAATATAAAAACAACAGCATTAACAACAAGAATACCACAAAGGTTTATGCTTTTATTTTAATATCATAGGAAAGCCTGATTTCAGAAAACTTGACTGCTTTTATTTGTGGGCCCCAAAGATCTTGATCACAGTTATGGTTCCTCCCAGTATTTATAGGAACAACATGGAATAGTAACAGTGTTACTTTTTTTCATATTTGGTGTCTAAAAATTGTAGATAATGCTGTTAATATCTAAAACAGAGTAACGAAGCCTTTTGGAAAGGATCTGGCTAATGTTTCATCATAATGAATAAGGTGAACATGGTTTATTAAACGAGCTTAGAGAAGGTCTAATGACTACTGGTCTTTAATAGCTCTCTACCTATGACTAACAACTCTCACATCTCTGCTTCTCTGAGGCAGCATAAAATATACATGCTTGAATATCAAGCATACTGGTTTTTAGCCCCAGATATTAAAAACAATTTTTTTAAAATTAATTTTAGAGAGAGAGGAAAGGAGAGGGAGAAAGAAATAGAAACATCGATGAGAGAGAACATCCGTTGGCCGCCTCCTGCATGCCCCCCACTGGGGATCGGGCCCACAACCCGGGCATGTGCCCTGACTGGGAATCAAACCAGTGACCTCTTGGTGCATGGGTCAATGCTCAACTACTGAGCCACACCGGCCGGGCAAGCCCCAGCTATTTTATAAACTAGACCTACTGGACCATCTCTGGGTATTAGTTTTCTCATCTGCAAAATGAGTGGGTTGGGTTACTGGATTCCTCATTTCCCTTCTAGTACCACATTCTGTGATTTTAAGCCTGGAAATGTCCACACTAACCAGAATTTGAATTTTAACTATAAAGTGATTGTTCTTGTATCTCAGTTTACTTAAAATGTATGTGACTATTGAGCTATAAAAAACTCTTTGTAATGTTGGTTTTACAGGTGAGGAAATCGTGGCAGAGCGCCGGATCACAATTTGGCCACGTTGTTAAATGTTTGGTACAATTTTACTATTTTTATAGTTATAACTGCCAGTTTTAAAAATCAACATGACTTTTGGATTTCTACGTAGACCTGTAAATTAACTTGAAGAGTCCGTAAGGCCATTTAGTCTACACTTTTCCATCCACACAGTATGACAACAAACATTTTTTTGGCAGGTCACATCTGATTTTGTTGTTGTTGGAGATTCTTTAAATCCTCCATGTCAAATCATCTGTCTGTCTCGTGTCTCTGAACTTCCCTGATGAATTGCAAGTCAGCTTTCTATGGCTCTGTCTTCAGTGGAGATGGAACAGTGTTTATCTAGTGCAGTGCAAATGGCTTCTTCAGAACGGATTCTCAGCTGCACTATGCAGCTGGCCTTGGGGGTCTTCATACCTGAGGGAGCTTCATACAGACCAGGAGAAAGACTTCTCCGGAGGGTAAACTAGGAAGCTTGAGTGGAGGTTATAGGAAGGGTACTTTGGCTTAGATAGTGAAATGAGCCCAGCTAGGTAGTGAACTCCCTGTTGTTATAAGTATCCAAGTAGAGGTGGGTTAATCATAAGACTGAGATGTTACAGAGGAATTTAGAGACCTAGCTCTCTCTAAATTCCTTTATAATACTAAAAGTCTCCAATTCCTTGGTTTTAAAAGTTCCCCTGCCTACATTGTTAAGTAGATCCATCACAGGGTGAAGGAATTTTTTCAAGTAAGGTTGGTGAAACATAAAAGGCTTGGACGGACAGCTCTTGGAGTGGGGGCTGGTTATGTAACTCTCATCAATGAGCTATGTGGATTTTAGCAAATCACTTGGCCCCTCTGGGCCTCAGTTTCTTTATTTTACAATATGAGTCCCTGGAACATCTCATCTTTAATAGTCCTTTCCAGTGCCTGTCCTTGATCCACAGATCTATCACAGAGGGTCAAAGACAGACCCTCTATGGGAAAGTGATGACACATGTGGCTGCATGAGAGGCAGAGGAGGGACTAAGCATCATGGACAGGTACCTGGTTGGGGCCGCTGTTCAGTATTCTTACTCATTGCTTGTGCTCCTGGAAGGGGAGGACCTGTGGCAAGAGAAAAGGACACCTGGTCAGTGGGGCCATGCTCCCAAAGGGCAGGGAAGCATCTTGTCAAACGTCCTCCTGAAGGAGGAGGGTGGTTTCTCATTCATTCACTCACTCGGTCACTCTCTTTATAAGTACTTATCTAGACTCTACTATGTACTGGCGCTGTTCTTGATGCCAGAGAGTCAGCAATGAACCAGCAGCCCCTGGTAGAACTTACATGTTAACAGTGCAGACAATGATAACCAATGGTATAGCACATCTCATGGTTTGGGGGCCGTGGATTTCATTGTTAAATAGAAAATTTAGAGAGGTCCTTAAAGACAAGGTGACATTTGAGCCAAGATCACCTGCTTTCTATGTTTAATGTTTCATGAGCTTCCCTCCATGGCATCTCACATGCACCTCCCCATCCCTGGCGTACTCCCCCACTTCAGATCTGCATTGTTTTTTGCACGGCCTAAGGCTTAGTCTGACTGGTCTATTCATTCACCACTCCTCTCTCTTCCCACTGACCCATCACACGTGATTTAAACCACTGCCCAGAAACCTTTGTGACTTCTCATTGGCAGCAGAATTAAGGTCTATCTTCATCATGTCCTTTGTGCCCCCCCCCCCTTTACCTTTCCAGACTTCTTTCCCTTCACACATGCTAAAGTCAGGGACTCAGAGTTTTCATGGAAGGTCAGACATATCAACCTTGATGTCTTCCCCTGGCCCCCACTTCTGGGAGGGTCTGTCTTCCCCATCTCCACAGGTCCAAATCCTGCTTCTCTTTCTAGAGACAACTCAAATGACCCCAGGTCCACAGTTCCCTCCTCGATACCACCCAGATAGAGAGTGATGACCCCTCTCCCCTGCTGGTCTACGCCTGACTCATCTCTGTGAACCCCAAAGTGCCAGGTGCTGGGCATAGAGTAAACAAATAATTTAAACATATTATTGAAAGGGATCTTGGCTATTGCTGGGGCATCAATTTGCAATCCCAACCTCTTTCTTGAAAGAATTCCCTTCAACATCCATTCATATGCTTGATATGGTAATTCCTAGAGACAGCAAGATGGACACATTACGGTTCAAGAGTTTGAGTCATGCTCTCTCCCCTCTCCCATAATGGGAGACTTTGGGTCAGACTTCAACACAAATTGATGTCTCAGACCCCTCCCATCTCAACGGGCTGTCCTCCATCTCAGCCTTTCCCGAAATGAGGACAGTGACATCACACTGACTAAGCTTCCACAGTTTCTGTAGCAAAGTCATTATCATCACTTAAATGACAGAATCCAAATCCAGCGGTCTTTTGTTCACACAGAACCTTGCCCTGAGAAACCCTCTGCCTTCAACAATTTTAAAACCAAAGGCAATGAAACCGACCTCAGAGGTCTGAACAAAAGCCCACACCCTCTTTCAAGGGACCAGTATCACTGACAAGCCCTAAGCCAGCAATTCGTTTCGACGTCCACTCAGAAAACAGGACGCCTATCCTTTTTCATCTCATGACCCTGTTCGCCACCATGTCCTTGGAAAACGGTTTTCCTCCCAAAGACAGAGGGACATTTACTTACTTTTGTTGAGTCCAGAATTCACGTTACTGCTCCATCCTCCTCTCCTGACTGAGTCGTAAGAAGGGTCTAATAAAAAACAACAAACAATCGTACATCAGCATCTCTTGCTTTGCAGAAAGAGAGCATGAAGATGGTCTTTTAGTAATCAGGAGAAAATGAATTTAATTCCACAACCACTCTTTGGGCGGAATCCCAGGTACGCTCTGGCCTGGGTGAAGGTGTGGTGAGTGGAAGGACCTCGAATATTCTAGTTGAGAGCCAAAGTAACAGAAGAACGCTGGATTTGAAGCCAGAGAATTGGTCCCAGTTCTGGCCCTGGCATAACATGTTGTGTGACCTTGGATGAATCATAAGATATTCCTGCATTCAACCTTCTTTGGTATGAAAATAAAAATTTACCTGATTTATCTACCTGATGAGGTTGTGCTAATGTTATGAACTGAAAGTGCTCTTCCCAAATTCCTACATTGATACCTAATCCCCAACGTGATGGTATCAGGAGGTGAGGATCTTGGGGAGGTAACTAGGTCGTGAGAGTGGTGCCCTGAGGCGTGGGTTAGTGGCCTCATAAGAAGAGGCTATAGAATGAGAAAGAAGTTTCTGCCAGGCGAGGATACAACAGGAGGCCAGCAGTCTGCAACCCCGAAGGGAGCCCTCAGCAGAGACTCATCATGTCGGCACTGATGTCAGGCCTCCAGCCTCCAGGCGTGGGGAATACACTTCTGTTGTCCCTAGAGCACTCGGTCTATGGAACTTTGCTAGAGCAGCCCCAACGGACTAAGACAGGATCAAATGCTACAGCATATGTGAGACATCTTACAAAGCTTGCTGCGCATATAAACAGAAAGGGAAAATGTCTACCGCAGCTCTGAAGAGGTGGGCAGTGTCCAGGCTCAAGACTCCATGAGAAAAATGTCTCAAAGCCCCGGCTCATGACTTTCAGGCGGCCAGCTGCAGCCCCGTCCTCAGCACCCTGACGCTGTGGATGACATCTCGGAGGGGTGACACTGTCCAGGCTCCACTCGGCCCTCGTGTTTCCCTATTGAGCACGGAGAGGGCTGGGCCTGATGACCACGGAGAAAGCAAAAGGGCCAGAGGTGTGGCTGGAAAGGGGGCTGGACCCAGAAAAGAGGGGATGGAGAGATGCCTCCTGCCTGAAAAGGACTACTGCCTTGCTTCCAAATCGCCATGGAAACCACTCCATGGAACCCACATATTGGTGATCCCAACCTCTTTCTTGAAAAAAATCCACGCGCCTCCATAACTGTGCTCAGCAGTGGCTGCAGTAACGGGCTGGGGACTGCCCCTTCTTTCTCGGGGTGTAAGTCCCGCTGTGACACTGAGCAGGGACAGCAGAAGAGCTTAAGGATACAGAATTATGACTTTCAAAGTCTTTCCATGAACAACAAAGAAACCATGAAAACCATCCAAACAAATGGAGCACAAACCTCATCAAATACCAGCCTGACAGAGTGAAACACAAACCAACCCTCCCCACCCCTTCGGAGCCTCTAACAAATTAGAACGAGAACAGAAAAGGCGGACGGGCTCAGCTGATTGTCTGTTCTCATTGTTTCTGGCTAAGAAGAACCAAAAGACAGGGACCATTTTCTTGTGGAAAAATCCACGTGTGAATGCACATTCCTCCTGGCCCTGGAAAAGCCAGTGCAGTTTTAAAATTACAGTATTTAGTAACTGGCATGAAAAGCAAAACAGAAAGTGAGGGGGTGGGGGAGGGGAGAAGAGCCCAGAAGGGGACAAAAGGGAGGCAAAGCTCAACTCATTTCAGTCTGTTTTTATTTTTACTTGACTTTTTTTTTTTTCTCCACAATTCCTCCTGCAAATAGATTCCTCTGCTTGCTTAAAGAGAAAATTAAACAAACACAAAACAAAAAAACAAAACCATGAGCAACCCAACTTGTTTATAAGCTTGGAATGAGGTTGAAGGCTTTTGTGGGCATTTTCGGGACTGTCGTGCAGTGCTCTGCACATGGGTGAATGCTGGCACGAGCCAAAGGAAAGGTGAGTTTCTTCAAAGATTCTTCTGGAGTGGGGGACACTGACTAAGTCTACAATAATTCATTTCAGAGTGACTTCTGCAATGTATTGTGTGTTTGGCCACAAAGTAGACATAAAGTCATCCAAAATACGTTCTCTGTCCTTGCATTTAAATATCCAACGATTGCCCAGCCAGGGTGGCTCAGTGGATTGAGCGTTGTCCCATGGACTAAGAGGTCCTGGTTCCATTTCCGGTTCAATTCCCAATCAGGGCACAGGCCCAGTTTGTGGGCTCGATCCCCAATAGGGAGCGTGCAGGAGGCAGCCAACCGATCATTGTTTCTCACATCCATGCTTCTATCTCTCTCTCTCAAAAATAAATTAAATAATAAATACATAAATAAGCGACAATTACTGAGATTGTGAGGACATGTGGGTGATGGGGTGTTGCAGACATGAGGGCTCCTGGAGGTTAACACGGACAGGTGAGCGTGACGGGGTCATATGAGCTAAGTGGGTCTCCTCGGAGAGAGGAGAGGGAACCGTGCAGACAGGCACAGGGCAGAAGTGGGTGATGAGATGTCCGAGTGATGGCTGGTGGACCACCACAGAGGCGGCTGCGTGGCTGAAGGGGAGGAACCGGTAGGAAGAGAGGGCCAGAAGAGAGGGCCGAGGGCATGCTCAGGCCGAGCTGATGGCTGCGGGGCAACATCGTTGACCTCGGGGGGCAGGCCGTGGAAGCGCCGGGGGCTGGGCGGGCAGCCGTGAAGCTGGGCACAGCCGTGCTGCTGTGCAGGGTGGAGGAGCGCCTGGGGGCAGGAGGTGAACTGGCAGGCACAGAACAGAAAGTGGAATAGAAAGTGACAAATTCATGCAAAAAGAAAAAAAAAATCTCTAAGTTCCAGGAATTGGTGCGTGTTATCTGAAGTCCTGACTCACCTTCTGACTTATGCCCTGATAAAATTAGCCTCAACGTTTTCTGATCAGTTTTTTCTGCTCAGTCATTCATTTACTGAAGGCTTCTTCTATGAAAGCTGGGTTATATTCAGAACCATTTTCTTTTTAGCCCAACTTATGGCTTTGGCTATCATTAGCATCAACATCTTATCAACTTTCCCTCCTATTCCTTTTTACTAGCTCCAAGGATGGAGCAGACGCGCAGAAGTTACGAAATGCGTGGACGAATTTTCTGTAGCTCTAAGTGTCCAATCCTGGTTGATGTTGGCACCTTATCAGGAAGTGTTTGGCAGCCCTACCCTGGCTGCGATGCCCCAGGGCCTTAGGGCTGTAGCATCTGACTGTCCCACAGGGCCACCTGGGGTGGGGGTCGGGGTGGGGATTGGAAAAAGCCTGGTGAGAGGACAGCGGAGGTCCCAGCCAACCCCCACGTCTTCTAGTGGATGAAAACACAAGAGACCAAAACAAAGAGGCCACCAGCAATCAGCCTGCACTGTGTCCTCACTGCACAGTTAATAGAGCAGTCAAGAGCAACGAGCATGCCGGGAAGGCTGGAGTCTTTAGTTAAGGAGGATGAAATCCATGCAACAAATACCACCAGTCTCTTCAAACCATTGCTTTGTGCATGGAGAGCCTCGCTACTGGCACCTGGCTCTGCAGAAGACACCCAGCTTCATCACTGAGGAGTCTAACGCGCGCACGTCGTGGCGCTGGGCTTTGTGGGGACATCCACTACTCGTAAGAGTGAAACGAACGTCAGTATTTCTGCAGTAAGTCCTGCTGTAAAGACACAGCCCGAAGACGGAGGAGGCCAACGCAAGCACCGAGGTCTGGCATTCTTCCTTGGAGGTTTGAAGAACCCAGGCAGCTTTGCAGATTAAACGAGACATCCAAGTAAATACCTGGCCCGGTGCCTAGCACCAAGTCAGACGTGGAAAATGTTAGCGATTCATATTATTATTTGCATCATTATTATATACCTAAAGAATGTTCAGACCCCAAAACATGGTTGCCAGCCCTACCAAATACACATGAATTTCCCCCTCCCCTTGCCCACCCCCTTATGATGCTCTATTTTTATTTTTCCACTGACCACCTAATTTAATCAGTAATTAATTTATGTTTGTTGTTTATTGTCTGAATCTCCCACCTGAATATCTCTCTTCTGTTCTCCGATATAATCAAGCACCGAGAACAGTGCCCAGGGCAGAGTGAGCACACAAACAAACACTTGTTGAATGAACCCATAGAAGGGCCAATATTTTCTCTTCCTTGCTAAATATACACGTTTCCTCCTGTTGTTCACTATTTCACTGGCTGAAGAGCACTCAAGGCGCCTACTCTTACTTGTCCCCACGGAGCAGCGTCCAGGTGGCTGTGTCAGTGCCCTGTGAGGGGATGGACGACAGCCCACCTGTTCCGGGCACAGGCGAGGATCTGTCTCCACAGCGACGTCAAGGGCTAGATGCCACTTATTGAAATGGCCTGACTTTTATTTTATAGACTTTCAATGTCACTGTCGAAATGAGTGTTGGTGTTTTTCCTACTGACTGTCATGCAAGTGAAAGCTGAGCAGTGTGGTCAGCTCTAGTCCCAGACACACACACAGAAATATGTCTAGAACTAAACTTAAAAAGCCAGGACCAGGGCGCTGAGCCAGCCCCTGGTTCTGCACAGAACCGCCGCAGCAGTGTGAGGGCTCTGTGACCCGGCCCGTCGGCAGGTGGGAGGGCGCCGGTGGGGTGCTGCCCGCGAAGCCACCTGAGCGTGGACCAGCTCCGGCTGCGGAGAGGGGCCTGCTGCTGCTGCCCACACCTGGCCTGAAAGCAGGGCTCAGGAGCAGCCGGGGGCCCAGTGCAATGGTTGGCGACCAGCAGGTGAGATGACACTCTCAGAACGTGTGTGCGGTGGCAGACTGCTTGGTCGGCACCTGGCTTTACAGATGACAAACCTTATTGTGATTCTTTTCCAGATGAGTCACCAAAAGGGTTTCACCTGGAGTTGGTGGTTTCAGGCAGTCCTGAGGTCAACGTTAGTTGAGAGACCTGAGCCTTGCTGTGGAGAACCTGGGCACTGCCAGGCACTGTGGGGAACTCTGCTTCGCGTGTACA